GTTCCTCAAAAACCCAATCGTTTTCTGTGAAAACTAGTTCAACATTCCGCATGTTCAAAAATGTTCAAACACCATTTTCCCAAGAATGTAAACACAAATGTATTTTTTTAAAGATTTCTCACACTGTATTTGTGAGTTAAAGTTTTTTAAATGACTGCAAATTAGGTTTTTCGATAACTCATAAGTTTTCTATGTAAAAGAGTCTTAAATTTCGAATTTACATTAGCGTTAAACGCCATTTTCTCAAAAACGGATCCAAAATGATCAAAGAAAATTGTTGTTTAGGACTAGACTAGCTATACGAACTTGCCACATACTCTTGCCAGATGCCACATATCACCGTCCAAAGTACGTTATTTTTTAATTTTCCTAATATTTTCGGTTTCCTAACAATAGAACGGAAATATTATTTTATGAATACTAAAGAACAGAAAATCCTTGTCCTAAATGACAATTTTCTTTGAAAAAATTGGAGTCTTTTTTTTTAAGAAAATAGCATCAAATCGCCACTGTAAATTTAAAATTTGAACCTGTTTTCACAGAAAACTATTGAGTTTTCAAAAAATTTTATTTAAATTTGTTTCAAGCATTTTAAACCACAAATACAATAGTATTGCCAAATTACTGAAAATGTGCATATTAACGACGTGAGAAATCTTTCAAAAAGATTACATTTGTTTAATTTTTGAAAAAACAAAATTCCCCGAAAATAAACATTGTCATATCAAAGAATGCAATTAACACTATCAGTTCAAAAAGTTTGGGAAAAATTGCAGGTGTTTTTAAAAAAATGGCGTTTGAGCGTTTCTGAAAATGAGGGATTTTGAGCTATTTTTCATAGAAAACTGTTTAGTTTTCAGGGAACTTTATCTAACAATATTTGAAGCACATGTACTTATATGTAAATTAATGTGAACTAATGCCGCTAATGTGAATATTGGTAACGTGAAAGACAAGTCCAAAAATTACATTTTTGTACTTTTTGGAAAAACAAAAGAAACGAGCATGGCGTTTATGTCGTCTTATAGAGTGCATTTAGTACTATCCTTGCCAAAAGTTTAAGGAAAAAATTGGAGCTGTTTTTGAGAAACTTTTGTTTTTGTAATTTATTAAAATGGCAAATATTGCTCGTCTATTGCGCGAAACCTACAAAACATTTCAAGAAATGCATGACCTAATGAAAGAATTCACTATAGAGAGCAAATATTATATGAAGGAAAAATCTCTATCTTCAATTTTGTAAGAAGATACCGAAACAAATTCATACTTTTGAAGTTTTCGAAAATATTGGAAAACAATGAAAATCGGACCTATGCTACCTTTATAAGTTCATTTTCCTCTATTCTCACAAGAAAAAATTTCGAGCCGTTTTTGAGAAAATTTTGAAAAAGTCCGGAAGGCTTCATGTAAAGTACCCCCAAATTTTAAAGATTTTTTTCGAAATCTCAATGCTTCGTCTCAAGCCAGGTGGACTGAAGTTTCTTCCATTTGGAAAAAATCCTGTTTGGTGTAAGCCCTAGTAGTTTTCGTAGACAGACAGGCAGACAGTCTTACGTTTTGAAAAAAACACGTTTTCGGTGTCAGGGGACCGCAAAACATGTTTTTTCATGAAAATCTTGAAATCGATTTTCCGCTGCATTACATAACTTTCCCTATACTACTTATAGTACTCCGTATATACGAACGTATACGAGAAAGTAAAAACTCTTCCCATCCTGCCGCCTTTCTTTGGTTTCAATGAAGTATTCCAGTCCACTTTCTTTCACAAAAGTTGTCTGCGTCTGCTGACTACTGATCCGTGCGAGAATGATATTTACTGATAGGCTATACTTCCGGTTCTTACATAAAATACCTCCTGCTCTCTCTTTTCCTGATTTATCTCTCCTCCAGCTGTAATTCTAAATATAGTTTTGTTACCATCACATTTGCAGTCCATGCAAACTTAGGCTACTTCTGCAAATCTTCGAAAGCGATATATTATATAATTCCCAAGAAAATCACTGCGATAGAAATAATTTAGATTCTGATAGTGTAATTCGTGATACGTAGATCCTCGTAGAAAATTTTGGAAATCAATAACATGCATATTATTCTCCGAAGTATTTCATGCACCGGTTCGTAACTGTACCTGAAATATCACCCTAAACCGTGTACCGGCTTGTGAAAAAATGGCAACACTGGGACGAGTTTGATTTTATACGACGCAACACTTAGGACAAAAAGGTGTGAAGAGACGCAGTATGCAAGCGGTATGGAACAGAAAGAGACAGTCAGAAGAATAAGGGGTGGCCAGACCCTGACTTTCTTGTTATGAAAATCCTGAGAATCTCCAGGGATCCTACGCGACCTGACATTTTAGTCAGTCAGTGTGTACATTCTTCTACGGTAACCCAGCCTTACGTACATGCGCAAGATCGGCAGACAATGTAAATATATTTCACCACATCATGAACTCATTGTAAAATAATATGAATATATTATTGGGATATTTCGTTGAAGCCAGAGAAAGGTGGCAGGATAGTAAGTTGTTGTTGTTGTTCTTTTTTATTTAAATGTAACACACAAATTGAAGTCAACGAACAGGAGAGCTGCACCATTTTCTTAAACGCCTTTCACAGTATCTATCAAAAACCAAAAATGGAGCTATTTTAAAAAAAAATAATTTTCAAAAAAAACAATCAAATTATTTGAAAAATGTCCCATGTGCTTCATATAAAGTACCCCCAAATATTAATATATCGGTTTCAAACCCTAGGATTGGGGAATTATAATAACAAAGGGGCAGATTTTGAACACCTAAAACATCGCCGAAAATGATCGATAAAATACTCTTAAACTGTTTTTAAAACGTCCTAAAAGCAAAGAAAAAAGTAAGGTATATTTTTTTTATCAAAACAAATTCAGATGCGTAACTCAAACTGTTGGATATGTTTCTGATGTAATGGCAGTTGCGGATGGAGGAGAAGCCAAGCTCTCACTCAAAAGGCCCTGAGAAAAAAAAGTAAAATAGTAAAAGTGAAGGAAAAATAAAAATGAGAAAGACGAGAAAAAATTGTAGAAACGTCTAAAATGTATCGAAAAAATAACCGTGCGATTTGCCCTTTGCCTTTTAGTAGAAATGGAAACCCTGTTTCTCGCTGTATTTTAAGCCCGTTGATGCGAAATTTTATCTAGTACTTCAGTTGTTTCAAGAACAATTGTTTCGAAAAACGCACAGTTAAGCAGCAAGATATAAGAAACTAAATAAAAAGGGCGAAATTTTTAGTTTTTTGTAGTTTTCTCGGTGAAGCCGACCTTGTTTGCGGTGGGAAACATCAAGTTCGAGTTTAACACCACCAAAAACGTATAGATCCGTTGACAAAAAAACTCCCCATATTTGTTCCTAAATCGGGCCCTTTAAGCACCAATTGATTGGCCTAATGGTACGGCCTGATATCACGTGTGGTTCCATCTCGTTTCAGAGTAGCCAGGTAAAGTGCCGGCTGAGATCAGCAATACGATGATGTGAGATGTAGATTGCCCGAGTAATGAAAATATGGCCCGCAACCATATTAGTGGTTGAGGCCTTGCAAGTTGGAAACCCCCGTTTTAGGCGCTAATGACGTTCACCGATGGACAGACACGCGGAAATACACTCGCATACAAGGTGTCGCAAAACACAGATTCAGATTATTAGGCACCCCCAAATCATATATTTTCGTCAACATTCCGATAATTGTGTTTGCAACATTAAATGACTTGAGAAGGTAAAAATTGGGCTCGTTCGTTTAGAAAACAAATGAACGTATTTTTACTGTTTTTAAATGTGTATAAGATATGATTGGTTACGGTGATAGATACATAACACACAGGTAATCTACAACTTCGTCTATCCAGATCAGCAAAACTTCACTATCAACGTGCCCATATACTCCGGTATGTTACTAGGATGTAGAGGTAGTGTCAGTCCACTACCTCTTTGGTTGCTTGTGCTTTTATTAACCTATAATATAGTCAAGTTGTTCTCTCTCCTGTTACAGGGACCGATGTTTGGATATGGAAATTCCACTTTCCCACGTAAACCTCCAGGGGGTGCTCTCACTTTTTGGCACCCATGGCTAATCTTGTGTATTGTATTAGCTGCTTTGATTCTCTTTCTCATTTTCGGAGGGATTCCCTTAGTGATTTATTTGTCGGCAAGGTAGGTTGCGACATTTAAGTTAACCCCAACATTACCAGGGGGACTGCTCAGAGCTCACAGACTATTGTTTCTAAGTGGTGTATGGCCTGGAAATCTGAATCTCGCGCACTTGGTTGTTTCAATTATTTAATAATTTAACAAAGTTGTCTAATTATTTAAAATAATTATAAGTGGGTCCTGGATCCTCCCCCTTGGTAATTCACGGGACCATTTATACTTTGGTATTACTGAGGTTAATGTGTAATGAAGGTTGGTTGTTTTTGTTTGTATTTTCTGTTGTATTATTTTTCAAACCAGAGTAGGAATATGATTTCTCTAGCTATTGTCGGTACTTAATTGTCAAGCCTCGAATTCTTATAATTGAATCCTTTTTGTACTTTCGCCCACTTCTGCAAAAAAATAATGTGTTGTAATTGAAGTGCTCAGAATAATAATGGATGTTCCCAACCGAAAATCGTTTTGAGAAAAAAAGCCTTTTTCTCTTTTCGTTCACGTTCATTTTCATTCCAGAAAATCTTTTGAAGGTTGAAGTTAAGGATTTCGCCATATTACAATTCATTTAATATTTTAGCATATGATAAGTATATGGCAGGAGTGTACTGTGATACTTCTAACAGAAAGTGCTTCTGAGTGCCTCAATTGATGTAAAAGCAACTAGCACATGTAATTCGTTTGGTGCTGAAAAAACCGAAAAGAATTATACGTATAGGATCTAAAATGATCTGTTGTGACATCATAAGGAAGGGAGTTTGTTTCAGGATAAAGCAGACCACAACCAATGACAATTTGATCTTACCCTTAGCGCGGTTAACTAGTTCAGGACTGCAGCGTCGTGCACAAACAAGTGGCCATTTGACCGCCGGGTGGCATACCGCTTGGGTTCGGGGTGGGGCGGCAGGATGTTACATGATGTAGAGGACCAGAGAATGGGGGGGAAGACGCGGCGAGCCAAGCTGGGCGGCGGCGACGCTTGCAGGGCTCTCTTGTCCTTCGAGGCGCCGAGCTGTTCGGATCAGAGGCAGCGCGCCGGGTGAGGTGCGGACAGCGTGCGCGTAGGCAAGAGCCCGCAATGTACGTTGTCGTGAAGTAGAGACGCATGTGTGGGAATTCTGCGGCGCTTCACCCGATCGCATTTATTCGATATTTAAGTAGAGGGTATGGTAGCTGTAGAATGAAATTTGGTCCTAATGGTTGGGTCGATTTATTTCGTTTATGAACAATTGTAATTAAAGTTTATTTCGGTGGTGGATTAGTAAATAAACTAGCAATACGTTCAACCCACTCTCGTCTGTGTATTATTGCACCCTGCATGACGCCCCAGACGAAGCACTATAGTTATAAATGGTAAACGATTCGCGTAGTGCATGCCTGCACGAAGCTCGTCTGGAGAGACACGCGCACGGAAAGCTCGCCGGTAAGGGGCTCGAGCAAGTCCACGGGTGACTTAGTAGGCACCGTGTGAGTAAACGGGGGCCGAATTGCGAGTGTGGGGTGGGGTACGCTTCAGGTAGCACGACGTGGAGTAGCCAGGAGGGATTAAATTAAGAGGCGCGGTGTGCAACGCCAAGCCAAGCTAGGGAAGTAAACGTTACGCGAAATAGAATCGTAGAACGGGACGCGTCAAGGCGCACAAAGGACCCAGCCAGTTGTCGTGAGAAGGGGGTTCGAGTAACCTGCGACGGCGGTGGTGGCAGGCAGGCGTGTAGGATGCGTGGGCGTGATGTATCCCGCACGGTAGGGGTCGCCCGGAGACGAGGCCCGTCGTATAAGGCCTTATTGATAATGCAAAACTTAAACGTAAACATTAAGTAGTCGCAAAACCTAGGTTACCTAAAACCTACATTTCTAGAAATGAGTTATTAAGCGAGGCCATTCGCAATGCGTTCACGTAACCATCGACGTAAATCCTTAAACTTAAAAAAGAGTTCACAAGCACAAGTCAGAGAGCAGTATGATAAAAACAAACATGGTGGATTTCAGATTCTGTTCAGGTAGTTTGGGTTATGTATTTTGATTACTGTTATGTACTGAAATAGTTTGCGAACGATTTTGATGTGAATAGTAAACACAAAGTAGAGATTTGGGTAATTTTTCTTCTGACTTGTGAGTTTTCCTTCAATTTCTTAATTCTTCAGATTGGCCCTTCGGTGATAGTGAGTTATTCAGATTGGATAGCAAAGGCCCATTCACAATGCAAACAAACATAAGCATGGCGTTAACATAAAAGTTAGGACTACGTCTAGAGGCGGACTCAATAACAATGCGTTCGCATAAGCATAACACGTAAGACGTAAACTTAATAGCTTGCAAGCTTTAATCTTGTGTGCTTATGCATATGTAAGACATAAGAAATGAACCAATCACAATACGTGAACTCAAAAATTGAGAATCGAAAGAAAGGGAATTCGATTGACGAACTAACGCCATATGGGGCCATGGACGCAGTCGATATCTCGAAATCGATTCTTACATTCAACCAATAGTAAACTAGATATGTTTCGCAGCCAATAGAAACTCTTATTTTGCTTACGTTTATGTTAGACATTGTGAATACATCAGTCTATCACTTATGTTAATGTTTACGTCTATGCGTTATCTTATGTTTACGTTTGCATTGTGAATGGGCCTTAACTTATTTCTGTAAAACACTTTAAAGATGAAGGAGTTGAATTATGGGAGAATCATTTGTGGGATTGATATCCAGCGCACAAGTGGCGAGGAGCGCTGGAGTGACGTTCCGCCGCTCCTGTCGGACGAAGAGAGCGGGGGGCTTTCGAAGGGGCATTGCCCTTCTCCTGCCTAACCACCCCTTACGAGGGGTATAAAGCCAGGAGCTTTCGGCGAGCAGAGCGGTAGAGTCCGTTTCTGCCTGCATGTACGCCGCGTACGAGTACTCACGTGCTGTCCGCCCCCGGACCCCCTCGAGACCACGGGCTGCCACCTGCCGCCCGCCCGGCATGCCTGCTGATGTCCGGCCGTCACCCGAGCCAGTCCCAGCCGCCAACATTCTACCGCCTTTGCCTACGAAGCGGGCACCGGCATGGTGGAAAGACGCGAGTGGGCTCTTGCATATCATGTGCGCTACTTCAGCCAATGGCCTTCAGGCACCAGTTTGCTTCACAATAGTAGCGGAGATTTTAAATGCAGTCAGATATCAAAATTATCATTTTATAACAAGTCACTGAAACAGATATATGAAGTGCTTCTTTTAAACGTTGCAGCTTGTGCATCATCATCGTGTTATTTTTGGTTGGTCACCGATGAAAATTTTCACTTTATGCAACTTTCAAAATGTTTCTCAACACTTCTCGCTCTCCATGCCACATGGCGGTTAGGGTCTAGTCTGGCTTTTCAAACGAAGTGTCCGTGCTGCGGTCACATGCTTTGTGAAATAAACTGGTGCTACGCAGAACGAGTAAAAATCGGTGTGCCAGAGTAATCTCACAAATGTTTCCTCCATGGACACCGGTTAGTGCACAAAAAAAAAATAACACTTGCAGTATACCAGATCCTTGGTACAGTAACAAGGGAATTAGTTACAGTATCATGGTTATGCTGTACAGCAATTGTTCTTTTTCTTCGTGTGTCGTTGTCGACCCTGCTCGCCTCTAGGGAAGGCCCAGAGAATGACTTCGATGCACCGCTTGCTTGATACGTATGTCCAAGCAGCGGAAATTTTCAGTGGTTTTTCTTTTCAAATATCAGAGCTGCATGTACATTCGTTTCCTCCTATTGGAATGTATTGTCCCTTAAAGATCACGAGCTGGAAAGAAGAGAGGTAACACTCACATTCTATAGGGAGCTTCAATACCAAAAAGTTGTCATCGTAACGATGCTCTCGATTGGATTGACAGTGACTCCCTCTCCCTCCAGTTTGTGACCTTGAATGACACTTCATTTATATCAGAATATCTATTAATTTACATTTATATCGGAATATAATTGTTTGTTTATATTGCTTTATTAAACTACACGACACGAACTCCTGTGACCAGATAGAACAACATAGGATTAAGAAGTAATTTCATCGGGGAGTTATTTGTTAAAACTTCATTTCTTCAGACCCATTCTTACTTAAAATGAAATCTTCATCGATAACAACGAGGTGTAGACAATAATAGTATAATGTACTTTTATATACGTTGTAATACGTTTATTCAATGTGCAGTAATTGCCATTCATTTTTACAGTAATTATATCAGGTGCATGGGTGAGGTACTTGTAAAGACATAGCACTTGTCTTTGTGTGCGCAGGGCAGCGCGAAGAGAGGCCGAAGAACGGTGGCGTGAATGGGCAGACGCTCCCGGCAACGTGGGAATTGGCTTGGGCGGTAAGAAACCCTTCATGTTTTCTACGCAAAAAAGTTATAAAAAATCTGTAGAAAAATTTCAACAGTCATTGAAATAATTTTAGTTGTTTCAAATAATTTCTGATGCTTAACATTTTTTCTTGATTGAATTATTTCTTTAATACATATTCATTAGAATATTCACACATCTCATACAATCAACGCATATTCACTAGAATACGTGTTGAAGCATTTCGAGCACTTCACTCCTAGAAATTTACTTATAGATGTCACTAGAATGTGAATGGTATTGACAGAATGTAATTTTAAAACAACTAAAGAAAATAAAGCATAGTCATCCTTTTTATTTAATATAAATTGATAAAAAGACTGAAAATTTGGAATAGGCATCTGTAAACTTTATCATGTTCATTGTTTTGTTTCCATTTTCAGCCGATCCAGTCGCGTGGTATGGCACACCACCGTGGTCGATGAGGCCAAAGGTCCCAGATACGTGAAGATATTTGATAAATGAGGACGCTAGGTGGCTTTAAGATAGAATTCGTGTTGAATATTTTTCCATTATAAATTTCATGTGCAGAGGAACGTGTGAATTAACTTCTTGATGCAAAACAATTTTGTGTAGAGAATAAAAATATAACATTTATGAAATTATCGGTGTAACTTTTATCTAGCTTTTAGCATGTATTATGAACTAGAGCACAAGCAACCCGGCGGTTGGTTTTTCTTAATACTATCTGTTCTTCTATTCTTAATACTATTAGAAAGGGAAAGGAATTCATTTTATCTATTTTGTACTTATGTCTCCGTGGCGTCCCACCTCGCTCTCGCTTTACTCCGTTCGCACACACGCCCTCTCGCTCTGCCCCTGCGTGTCTCCCCGTTCGCCCTACTCTCCCCATCCACGTCGATACTAATTTTTAACATTCACATGAAATACTCAAAGTCTAATTAATTGCGCTATCGGGTTGAATCAAAATTCATTTAGTAGGAAATTTAAGTGTTCTAATAAAATTATCATGCGTTGTGACCTTTTCCTCGCCGCTTTCGATACTATATCGACGAAAACGGAAATTAAACACGCTTAAATTCTGTTTTAAGGGTTGGGAAAGTAATGGGTTGTTGCTTTTCTCAAATCTCATATACGTCTGTATTTTCTCTCGTTGAAGGTCAAAATTGCGCGATTTCATTCATAGTTGTTCCCTGTCAACCGAGAACACCTACGGCGAAGGAGGAGGCCGTTAACGGCGCTTTGTAGAATATATTCGTATGAACAAGTGGTGCTACAAAATGGCACAGACTTTCTCGCAGTAGTTATTTCCTAATCTTTTTATTCTGGGTATTTTTTTCTTTTTTCCCACCATCTTCCCGGTCACTCAATATCGGCACCAAAATACCATTCCTGTTTTCAAATTTTCTGAGCTTTCCCCTCTCCTAAAAACTGGATTGAAATATGACTTAAAGCATATCATTGAAAAGTGAAACTTGTTTTATATGCAAATTTTCATTGAAACTTTTAAGCCGATTTTGAACAAAAGTCGTTTGAGACTATCTGGAAATGCGCAATTTTGAGTTCATTTTCACCAAAAAATTTTAAAATATTGAGAAACTTCATTAGAAATTATTTGCAACATTTGTACTCACAAATGCAACAATGTGTTAAACACGAAACACACATGAAATATTAACGACGTGAGAAATCAATAAAAAATTACATTTCTGTAATTTTTACTTTCTTGCTACCGCTTCCCTAGTAGAGAGAAAGTGATGTAATGCGGCTTGAAGAAATGGCGTATTTTTGGCACACAAACAGGGCCCCGGCAACCAAAAAGTGGATAAATCCAGTTTTTAAATTTTGAAAAAAAATTCTTTAATACATGGCCTAGGTCGAATCTATGATTTGGGGGTCCTTGATACCGAAAAATCGATTGACGGCGAAACGTCTGTGTCAGACTGTGAACAATGCTAGCGGCTAAACTGTTCAGCTGATTTTTATCCGAAATTAATATGCCTCAATCAATCTGTCTGATGTCGCGGCTCCTTGAATTTGAAATCGATATTTTAATTTTTAATTTAAGTTCCAAGAGGAGTGTAGGTTCTCTCAAAAGAGGTAAGAGACGAAATTTTGCTATAATTTTGATCAAATTTGCCTGACACGTAAATGCCAGCGCATCCTTCGATCAAATTTGACGCCTGAATAAGTTGCGTTAGGCGCCCATGTCAGTTTTTGTGTGTCATGTTCATTTTGTATCGTTGGTGTAAAACGTTTAGTGTATTTGTGTTTGTGGCGGGTGTAACAGATTGCCTGCGACTTTTCCGATGAGAAAGTCAAGTGGTTTTGTTCCGCCCACTTCAGCATCAGGTTCATCAGTTTTTGAAGTATTTTCAATTTGTGGCTTAGGTTTATTCCTCTTGCTAAAACGGCTGTCATCGGCGTAAAGCAAACGCCGCATTCGCGGTATACGTGGGATGTCATTGACATACAGCAAAAACAGTAGCAGAAAGAGGACGGAGCCCCGAGGACCTCCGGCTGCAATCCTCAGCTTTTAGGATCTCGCTTTGCCCACATTGACCACGAATGCGCGGTTTGTGAGGCTGTGTACTGTGTGGCATTTTGCCAAAGGCTTGCACCATGTCGAGATATATGACAGATACGTCCTGTGTGAGTAACAGATCAGCGGAAATCTGTTGAGCCATATAAAGTGCTTGTGAAAGTGAAGCGGAATGGCCCGAAGGCGAACTGTTCATCTCGGATGAGGTTCCGCGAGAGAGCAGTTGGCAGAATTCGCGCGAGTAGAAGCCTCTCGAATGTATTTCCCAGAACAGGAGGGAGACTAATCGGCCTGTGGCTCGCAGCAATCGTTAGATCCTTACGGGGTTTCGGACGCATGGAGATACTTGCGAATTTCCAATTTTCCGAAAAGTACCGCTGTGTAATGCAGCTGTTGTATATTCGCGTAAGCTCCGTGTTTATGACCGAAAGGGCCTCCTTAAAAACGGGATGACCTAGCCGACGCCTTGCGACTACGTAAGCATTTAATTGTAGTCGAAACTTCTTCCACAGTACAATGTGTAAGTGTATTGGCGCTGTCTCCCGTTTCCTCCTCATCTACCGCCTGTGTAGTGTTGGTAACAAATCTCTCTTCAAGCATGTCGGCAAAGCATTCTGCCTTGGTTTCATCTGAAAAGAGGCATGTTTGTTTACCCTCCGCATTGCCGTGGCGACGTATGGTGGTTGCGGCATTAGGTACTGACTTGAGCGCTTTTTGGAGTTTGAAAAGGCTGTTTCAAGAATGATCAGAAACGGTCTCTCTCAATCGCTTTTCCCACTCTGCTGCGTGATGTTTTGCGCCGTTTTCAGGCGTTTTTCGCATTTCCGCATCTGTGTTCTAAGCGCAGGGCACCTACACTGCTGCCAAAGTCGCTTAGCTTTGCGTTTTTCGCGCGGAAGCTCTTCTACATCTTGGAAAAGTGTGTGAGCCCTCTTCGGACGTGCACAGTCACGACTTACAGCCCCACAAGGGCCCTTCTTATCACTGGTCACAGTCGATGAACTGCGGAGAGATAGATAAGCAGCGGGCGAGGTCTGCACCGTTCGGTAGCCGAGTGCGAAATTCTTGTATCTACAGCTAGGATAGTTATGTAATAACAATTTTTATTTATTACATTTACATATATGCATATTGTAATATGTCCACCGAACAAGGTTCATGGAATATAAAAATCCAAATTTTACAGAGCATTTTTACATATTTTGAGAGGATTTTTAATTTATAAAGATTAATATATAGAGCATATTCTTAGAATGATACATATTTGCTATTTTCACAGTCTTTCAAATGTCTAAAAATGTAATTATTAATTACTTTATTATTGTAGTTATTACTTTTTACAAGTAATAGCATTTATAATAATAATAACAATAATAATAAATAAGATGTTAATAACAATTCACTAGGAACAGATTATAATTTTCGTAAGATACTGAAATTTCGGCTTGGATATTTTCCCAAGATGAAAAGCCTCTTCAAACAGACTTATCGGCAAGACCTTGATGTTAAGACATTGAAGAAACATTGTCATTGAAGAAATAGCAAACTTTTAAATCTGCGCCAGTAACATCTGTCTTGGAGTGATTGTTTTGTCTCCAGTATAAATCAATTTTAAAAATCAGCAGAGAAAAAAACCTTAATTTTTTCAAACCTTACAAAGATGACGCGAGAAGCGAACAGAATCGTTTCCCTGTATCGGAGTGCCGTATGTATAGTTCTAGATTTGAGGAAAGGGAATAAAATACACTTTCATAAAACTGGAAAGGATCGGGACAAACTATTTTAGCGCTAAACTAGCGCTCCGCCCTATTGCGAGATTCGTCGTCACCATCGAGCGCGTAACTTTCGATTCATACAGTCGAGCAGAAATGCGCCACGTGTGGCATCACTGTTGACCTAAGAGTCCGTACTTCATTCTTAACCTCGGACGCGCCATAGCATGTTACTTGAATCTTTCTTGACCATTTTCACTTTCTAGTCTACTTTACCCTTGTAAAGAATTAAAGTACAATAGAGTATGGAAGGGCAATAAATGTTTTAATACCACTCAAAGGATTCTGATCTGCCATCGATCAGGCGTGGTGGGTCCAAACTGGGAGGGCATTTATTTAATAAACAGTGACAGTAGAGTAATTAACGAAACTAGTGAATAAAGAGGGGTATAATTGCGTATATGGTATGTTCAAGAATAACGATAAGAGCGAGTTTTCTCATTTACTATGAATAGAATTATCCCCCTTTATCCACGTGTTACGTTCAAAAATTTTTCGTTTTCATTAAAGAAATATTTTAATTTTGAATAATTTAATCATATCTTTACCATTTGAGGTAGATGACGTCATATTGGTTTTCAACAAGACAACGCTTAGTAGCCCTTGCAGTGTATATTTAAGAAGGCCTTTAATCCATTACAATACCTACATCCTTTAAGAGTACCTTGTGGTCTCTTTTCCGCGGCTTTGATGCGATGGAGTGACCATTTGGGGTGAATAACAGAATTCGAAAGATTAGAACGCGAAAGGATGTAGGTATTGTAATGGCTTAAAGGCCTTCGGCCTAGCCACATAGGATCAAGTAATCTAATTCGTTTGTAATAATTACCTATTAAATAAATAAAATAATATATTTAAGATCACCTTAGTGTCTTATCTATGAAAGAAGAAATGTTTGAAAAAGGAAAATATTTAACGTATTCCGACTGAAACATTAGAAGCTGACAAAGCCATGAAAACCTTTCTTCATACGAAAAATAAGGGCGTATATGAGAGAACAACACATGTTTATGTTGGAAAACACGAAGACGATTCAGTTCTGACTGAGACGTTCTGCCGGTGTACTTTTCAGAGCGGATAAATACAACTGAAGATAACATGTTTTATATTTGTAATGTGCTAAGACCAAATGTTGTACAGGTAACACATTTATACATGATAAATATTTTGTTATTGCATAAGGCAGCTAGTGACTACCCAACATGCTTATGGTCATACTTGTTTATGTTGAAAATGTGGCGTGTAAAGGAGTATATCCAGTCGCGCCCTGACAGCCGTGGTGGTCAGACGCTCCGTCCGCTCCGGGCAAAATCATGTTGTGCGTGCGTTC